CGTTATCGGCATCGTAAGGTTGGGGTGGTTGATTGCGCCATTCCAAGGTACTGGGATGGTCGGGTGGACGGTCGTGCGTCTAGGCTGCTGGTCGGTATTTTGTCCGACCGGATGGGTGGGTTGTATATCCTGTCCTCTGTGGTTGGAGGTGAGCTCGTTCATCAGCCCTCGTGATCGGTCCAACTGTCTTCGTAGATCATCTTCGGGGAATGTTTCAGCCGTATTGTTGGGGTGATGTCCGACCCGGCGGGTCGATCCTTCCCTTTGCACGTGGCTCTGGCTCCGGCTCCTCCGGTTGTTTGCCATTTCGACCAAGCGAGGTAGATGTGGAAAAAAAAGAAAATGGTAACGGGACAGAGAGTGACTCGTTCAGGTCCCCACAGACGGCGCCAATGATAGCGTAAATTGAATCCGGGGGTTACGGTTACACTACGAATACGTATGTTTGTGAACGAGTAGAATGTAGCGCTCGACGGTCAGCCGGTCGGTCGGTCGGTCGGACTACCGGGCGACGACTGAGTGGTCCGAGGATAAGTAGTATTGCAACTAGTAAGTAATAGGTTACAAGCGGGTTGCTATTACAGGGTGAATGGTACAAGTAGTAAGTAGTAGTTACAATGAGATCAAGATCCTCCAAGTGAGGGGTGAGACCCTCCTATTTATACTTAACTAAGTCGGTCTACGCATTTAATGCGCCTGCTGCAAGCGGATCGACATGGTGTCTTCTCGTTAGCTCAGTCAGACGGTCGCTCTGCAGCTACTCGTAGGTCAGTCAGACGGTCGCTCTGCAGCAACTCGTAGGTTGACTGACCGAGGCGACAGAGCCGGCCTACCTGCAAACTGTCAGTCGTCGTTCTGCAAGTGCAAGTTGGACCCTATAACTTGCCGTGTAAGTTACGTTTTCGGCTCTGCAGGCTACGTCATCTTGCAGGCCGATCGGTCACCCTACGGTAGACCAGCCGGGTGACTTTCCGTCGGGGCGATTCCAATGGTGATCCAAAAACATCTTCTTTTGTCACGAGGCCTATCGGTACGAACGGTAAGGTTGACCACAAGTGATTTATCCTTGTCGGGATGAAGACCGTAACGGACCGGTCGGATGACTTCTTGACGGACCGGCTATACGGATCAATCTTCTGTACGTATTTACCCATCACGGACGGTAAGGTTGACCACAAGTGATTTATTCTTGTCGGGATGAAGACCGTAACGGACCGGTCGGATGACTTCTTGACGGACCGGCTATACGGATCAATCTTCTGTACGTATTTACCCATCACGGACGGCGCCAATGATAGCGTAAATTGAATCCGGGGGTTACGGTTACACTACGAATACGTATGTTTGTGAACGAGTAGAATGTAGCGCTCGACGGTCAGCCGGTCGGTCGGTCGGTCGGACTACCGGGCGACGACTGAGCGGTCCGAGGCTAAGTAGTATTGCAACTAGTAAGTAATAGGTTACAAGCGGGTTGCTATTACAGGGTGAAGGGTACAAGTAGTAAGTAGTAGTTACAATGAGATCAAGATCCTCCAAGTGAGGGGTGAGACCCTCCTATTTATACTTAACTAAGTCGGTCTACGCATTTAATGCGCCTGCTGCAAGCGGATCGACATGGTGTCTTCTCGTTGGCTCAGTCAGACGGTCGCTCTGCAGCTACTCGTAGGTCAGTCAGACGGTCGCTCTGCAGCTACTCGTAGGTTGACTGACCGAGGCGACAAAGCCGGCCTACCTGCAAACTGTCAGTCGTCGTTCAGCAAGTGCAAGTTGGACCCTATAACTTGCCGTGTAAGTTACGTTTTCGGCTCTGCAGGCTACGTCATCTTGCAGGCCGATCGGTCACCCTACGGTAGACCGGCCGGGTGACTTTCCGTCGGGGCGATTCCAATGGTGATCCAAAAACATCTTCTTTTGTCACGAGGCCTATCGGTACGAACGGTAAGGTTGACCACAAGTGATTTATTCTTGTCGGGATGAAGACCGTAACGGACCGGTCGGATGACTTCTTGACGGACCGGCTATACGGATCAATCTTCTGTACGTATTTACCCATCAATATATATATATATATATATATATATATATATATATATATATATATATATATATATATATATATTTATTTATTTATTTATTTATTTATTTATTTATTTATTTACCAAGTATTTTATACAAATATAATAAATATTAATATTTCGTTCAATACTTTCACATGATAACCTGCGACACACATCTCACAACACATGAAACATGTAGGAAAAAAACTACCACTACTAAATATCAATAGGTGTTTGTACGCTAAAGAGTTCATATTACAACTAAAATCTCAATCATATACACAGCAAGGTAAATCTAAAACTTCCTACACCATAATCTCATTGCATGATGAACCCCTCTATGCTGCTACCAGTAACCTAATTGCACATGAAACACTACCAATAATAAAAAAAAAAGGACATGTACTGAAGATGAAAACAATAACAATGCTACCCAAAAAAGAATTAAGAAGAATTAGAGAAATTTAAACCAAAAGTAGTATTTATTTAGACTATCGCTTTAAAACTAAGTATTTAGACTAGCGTTATTACAAAGTTGCAAACATTTATTTTAGTGACAATTATAATCAATCTCTCATATATTATCTTGCATTTATATACTTTAAATTACCGATTTAAATAAACAAATTCAACATTTATTTACATATGTATGAAAATCTCCTATATAATATTGCATTGATATACTTTGAAATGCTTATTTAAAAATAATTATTGGGCATTATCTCATTCGCACAAAGTGCGTAAAAAAACTAGTAATTGTATAAGTATGGTTGAAACCAAATACGTGACATAAGGGAGAGCAAATAAAAATTAGGGCATAAAATATTAAATATATACTAATATTGAAAAGCTAACTGCTGATTGCCAAACAAGGACATTGCGAGGTAATTTCCCACTTTAATTTGTTGTGTGATTTGAATACTCTTTTTGTCAATAAATCTCCCAAGTAGTTAATATGATTGGCTTAATTATTTTTTTTTATTCTAAAACAATTATTATTATTATTATTATTATTATTATTATTATTATTATTATTATTATTATTATTATTATTATTATCATCTAAACAACTAATTTTTTCAAATATCTTTTTACCAATTGTTGATATAATTCGATGGTCAAATCCGCTAACGCTAACCGCTAACTGCTAACTACTGATTGTCAAACAAGGACATTGCGAGTTAGTTCTCACTTCAATTTGTTGTATGATTTGAATACTCTATTTGTCAACAAATCCCACAAGTAGTTAATATGATTGGCTTTATTAATTATATATTTTTTAAATTTTTTCATGTTATTAATAAAATACTTGGTAAATAAATATATAGCATTATTTTGTATTATAAATTTGATATTTAATTAAAAAATAGTGCACAAAAAATATAATAGACAATGTAGTGAATATAATCCATTGATGAATTTGAATGTAAATAATTTTTACATTGGAGAAATATAAAAGACAATAAAACTAATAAAATTATTTATCTTAATTAATTTATTGATAATGAATATATTTTTTTAATAAAGACATTGTAGGGACAATGTAGCGAATATAATCAATTGATGAATTTGAATGTAAAGAATTTTTATATTGAAAAAAAATAAATACAATATAACTAATGAAATTTTTTCTCTTATTTAATTTATTGATAAAGACATTGTAGACACATAATTCTAAATTAAAGAAATGCATATGTATTATTTTTTGTTGTAGCTACTAAATTATTATTTAATTTAATAAGAGTAAAATAGAGTACTAATTATGCCAACTTTGATTGGGATGAGGTTCGAACCTAAGACCTTTCTTATTGGAATCAATGAGTAAGTTAACGGTGAACTAATAGAAATTAACGGAAAATATAATATTTAACGGAAAAGTTAACGGATAATCATATTCATTAAGGATAAATTAAGAAATCTTAAGAAAAAATTAAAATCTGATCAATCTGAGCCATTCATTTGATTAAAAAACTTGACCGCCATTTTTTCTACCCATTATAGGCCTAACTCTCTTGGGCTCTTATTAGTATAGTAGATTTAGAATAATTTAAATATCTAAAATTTAAATAAATTTAAAATTTTAATATAATGTATTAATATTGGGTACCTATTTTTTTTTTCAAAAAAAAAAATAAAAAATATTAGTATAAACAATATATGGGAATATAGAAAATATGAAGAGAATTTAGAGAGAATAAATATTTTGTATTACTGAGAATTATTTGTCTTTCTCCCCATTTATGGGGTATATATATTTATACACATTTTGGGCTATGAAAGAATAATATAAATCCTAGAATGCTTCATATTGGGAGTCTTTGTTACATTATGAATAATAAGCCCTAATTCTTATTACATTATGAATATTAAGCACAATCCTTATTGAACTCCTAAGTTGCTCCGCATTAGATATCCTTCTTGGGCTTCCTTGATTCATTTACTTTATTAGGAGGTCCATGTGGCACAAGCCCTTTTGGTTGACTAATCCAGGTTAGCCTATTATACCATCCATCTATATACATATAAAGGCCATAGGATTTTGGCCAATCAAATCCTTCCATTTTCCCGCCTAAATTATACGACACCATTTAGGTTTTTTTTTTTTTCAAATCCATTCAATTTCCCGCCTATTTGAAAAATTTAATTTACTGATTTGGTATTGACGTATGATTTTAGGCCTGCTGTTTAGGGGTGTGGGCTATTGTGGAGTTAGTATTCTAATGGGTTTCTAGATAGGAAACGTGTGGTTTAAGTCTAATGGGTATGGGAGTGATGTAAATTGCAGTGCATAGGTAATATTTTAATATTTTTGCAATTGTCCGACTCTAAGTTTGCTGGTTATATATAGCTACACATTCAGGCCTCAAAGCAAAGCAAAGCAAAATATTACAAGTTTCTTTTATCTGTGCTATCACAAAACGAAGCAAAATATTACAACTTTCAGCTTTCAAAAACCAACATGACTGGGCAGTTCATAGTTGGTGCCCAGCTTCACCCGCAACAGACTTCTAAGGCCATTAGATTGCGTTGTGTGCGGAGCTATGTTGTCACTGAAAACAGAGGACAAAAACAAATTAGAAGTCAAGAGTGTGTGTTTCATGATCAAGAGGTGTGCTATTCCTATATTACTATCTTCTAATTTTATTGTCTATTGCTATCTGTTTATAAGTACTTATGATATTTTCTTTGTGTCTTGAATATAGGGTATTTTTATTCATGTTCACATACCTAAGGATATTGTTGCAACATACCAGAATATGTTCAAGGAGGGTAAAGTCTATGGTATTCGAAATTTCCTATGTATCACTAACTTTTTCAAGTATAAAACAAGCACACATCGTTATATGATTAAATTCAAACATGACACTGTTGTGAAGCAATATCAGCGTGTGAATTTCCCTAAAACAATGTTCCGGTTTAAGAGTTTCCCGGACATACTTTCGAAGAAGAATGTTGATGAGAAAGTGTTGATCAGTAAGAGTTTAACTCGATGCATACATATATAATACTCAAATGAAGGAATGCTACTTTGATTATGTTTTCAACCATAGCCATCAAAACTAATATTCTGCTGTTATTTTATGTAGATGTGATTGGCCGAGTTGTTGAAATTTATACACCACTAGACAAAGTGATAGCTGGAAAACAAACAAGGCTTATTGACTTTGTTCTTGAAGACAATGAGTAATTTTTTTTTGGCTTGGCTATGCTGATGTAAATCTTATTATTAATTATTAATTCTGTTGGGTATTTAAATTGGTTTCTGTTTTCATGCAGTAAAAATCAGATTAAGTGTACATTATGGGATGAGCATGTGGATCAACTAACTCCTTATTTCCAAATTGCTGCATCTGATCCAGTTATACTTCTCATTCAACTTTGTAGGGCCAAGTTTATGGACAGTAAGTTCTAATCCATGATGGGTGTGCTTTCTATTTCAAATAATATCCTATCTCCTAATGAGCAAATTTTTTTCTGGTTAGATGGCGAGGTTCGTATTTGCAGCTCCTTTGATGCTACCCAACTATTTTTTACTCATTCGTCTAAGGAGTTCCGTGACTTCAAGAATAGGTGTGTTTCTATTTTATGGTGTTTGTTCAACTTTTTAAATCAAAATGGATGTGAAAGTATTTACTTTTTTTTATTTTTAATAGCTTTACAGGTGACTACACCCCTTTGAGGTGTATAGAATCTGGTTCTAGGCTTGATGTTGGTTTCCCTACTAATGGCCTGCATCCTAATGATATTTTGGTTACTCCTATTGAAGATATTTACTTGAAAAAACAGGTTAATATGCTACAATGTTTGATAATTATTTATGTTTGTCTACTATTTTTTTGATGACCTAGATATTTTTTTTTGTGCACCAGTTGGGGGAGTATTGGGTTGCAGGCAGAATTGTTGGCGTAGAGAGTATAAGTGATTGGTATTTCATTTCTTGCAAGACTAATTCTTGCAAGAAGAAGCTTGCTGAACAAGGTGGCATGATGTACTGTGGTGGGTGTAAGAATTCTTGGCATGAAGGAATTGTGAGGTATAGGTTGATTGTCCGTGTGGCGGACCACACTGGAGATGCCCCTATGCTGATATGGGATCGTGAATGTGCAGATTTGGTTGGTATGTCAGCGGCTGAGTTAAAGGCTAAGTACCCTGAGGTATACTATACTATTTCACTTCTTTATTGGGTGTTTAGTGGTTGGTTTTTGATGTCTTATCTGTTCTCCAATATTTCTAGGGAAATAATTGTATTCCACCTGAACTTGGTCGCTTGCGTGGGATGTCTATGGTTTTTCGTATTGTTATGAAGAAGGAACAGGTGGAGAGCTACTATTCTGCCTTTACGGTTCTAAGGATTTGCAGGGATGAGCCATTAGTTACACAACACTGCTCAGGTTTTCTAGGTGCCCCTTCTGCTGAAATGGTTCCAGGTCATGTCGGAGGTTCTTTGGATGTAACTCTGAGGTATACTTATTATTCTATTTTTGGGTTTATAAGTGGTTCTAAGTAGGTTATTGACTGGTCAGAACTATTTTTATGCAGCAACAGTTTGGTAGTGATGAAGAGGAGTTTTTTGGAGTGGAGGATGTCTCTGATGGTGTGGAAGATGATATCACTGTTGGTTTGGATGACATTTCTGAAGATTTAGGGGATGAGCATGCTGCTGATGCTGTTAAGGGATCTATGATCAAAGATTTGGTTACTGCTGGTGGTTCTAACAAAACTAAGGATAAGGGTGTTGCTGATTTGGAAAGTGAACATGTGGGTGTTCCTCTTAAGAGATCTCTGCTGAAAGAGTTTGGTATGTCTGGTAGCATAAAGAAAGCTAAGGAGGTGGTGGTGAAGCAGGAAAAGTAATGGAAATTTCTTTATTTAGAAATAGGTTGTACTAATACTAAGCTGGTAAGTGGGTTTTGTGTGCTAATTCTACCAAACTGATGGTTATGCCTAGAAAACTGCAGCTTTTTGTAATGTACTGTTAGCCAGTAGATTGTGTGTAGTGTGTTTTTGCCTATGGGTTTGTTTTTTGAACACTGCAGGTGTTTCAGTGTACTGGTAAGCAGTACAATGTATGTAGTGTGTGTTTTGGAAGGCAATGTGTGTAAAACTGCATATGTTGCAGTTGCTAATCTATTTTAAATGTAATGACAGGTTGCTCTAATTGCAACCCAGCCACTAATGGATTTTGGTTCTTATTCTGTTCAAGTATAAGTATATATTGCTTACCCAAATATTACAAATAAACCTATTATTAATCAAAGTATAATATATAATATAGAAATCCAAATCATTAAAAAAAAAAAAAAGGAAAAAACAGTTAGAGCATATTATAGCAACAAATTAAATCATATTAATCTATAATTTCACAAAGTCTATTATAGCAAGCCCAAAAAAATTGCAGCATACTGATAGTTTCCTGGTAAATGAGATAAAAAAGAAAGGGGGAAATTACAAAAGGTATAGCAAATTAGGAGGTTGATTTTTGAGTAAATGCATATCACTTGCATATTTATTGCAAAGAAATATATTATTCCTTAAGTGAAATAATTGGAACCCATTCAAAAAAAAAAAAGTATCAAAAAATTAATATTTGAGAAATGACAAAGAAATTGATAGTGGCCATGGTAAATCATACACAAAAAGGCCAAAAACAAAAATTAAATTAATAGATTAGCAGGCTGATCATTAAAGAAAAGGATCTCCCATGCACATGTATTCCAAATAAATATGTTATTTTACAAACTCAATTATAGCAACTAAAAAAAAGGAAGCATCAGACTCCTTTATCATCACTTGCCTTTGATTTTAGATTGTTAGTATTTGTTCATATATATGTATAGAAAGTATTTCAATTACTTATCTATTCCAAATTAACCTATTATTAAACAAACTTTAATATACCAAAAAAAAAAAAAAGCAGTTATATCATATATTAGCAGGCTCATATTTGAGGTAAAGGACTTGCATATGTATTGCAAATAAATATATTATTTCACAAACATCATGTATGAACATTTTTTTTTTTAAAGAGTGGCATCATACTGAGAATTGAGAAATGACAAACAAATTCAGACATGCCCTGGTAAATCATTTTTAAAAATGGAAAAAAAAAGACAAAGCAGATTAGCAGGTTGATTTTTGAGAAAAAGGATATCAATTGCATATATATTGCAAATAATTATATTTTTCCACAAATATATTTAAAGCAACAAAATTACAAATATATATATATATATATATATATATATATATATATGACAACAGATAGCAATTTGAGAAGTGAGAAACAAATTGACAATGCGATGGTACAAATTACACAATACTCAAGACATACATGTAGGAATACTTTTCTCATACACCTATACCTATACCTAAGCATTTAATGTGAATGGTAAGTGTGGACTGCAATTTGAGAAGTGAGAAACAAATTGACAATGCCATGGTACAAATTACACAATACCCAAGACATACATTTAGGAATACTTTTTCCCATACACCTATACCTATACTTAAGCATTTAATGTGGATGGTAAGTGTTGACTATTATATACTAATGTTTGATTGAGACTTCTTAGCATGTGTACTACTTGGTATCTCTATATATACTTCATTTAAGAATGCAACATGTACACTATATATTCATTCCAAAAGAGAACTTCAGAAAGTTTTTAGCTAGCAATTGCAACAATGAAAAAATTGACTAGCTCAACTATCATTCGTGGAAAAAGAAAGCTTGATGTTGAAGACAAAGGTAAAAATGAAACATAAATGTTGTTCTTCATTAAAATTGTAACAAATGTTAACTTACTTTTTTGGTTTGCAATACTCATCTTCTTTGCTTTCCATTTGTCTACTATATCTGCACCAATTTGGTTCACTATGTCTCTTCTTTTTTGTCAGTGTATTGAGAGATTGTAAATGCAACACCTTCCTGTACACCTACAAATGAATATTATTGAGGTCATTAAAAAAATCAAAACACTACTAATATATTTGTTGACATGTTTTGTATATAAAATTTGTTGATACAATGATTTAAAAATAGTATTACTTAATAACATGTGAATATGATTTAAATTGAACTTTTTTAGGAATGAACTCATTTTTTTAAGCAGAAGGGTAAACTGAAATTATGCTTTTGATGGCATGTGAAGTGGAAAGAACTCTCAAAAAAACTAAATTAATCAATTTCAGTATTACTAATCAATTTCAAACTAAATTATTGAATTGTACAACAACACTAATCTTAATACTCTTTTTTCACAATTTCCACAATTTCCAACTGTTGGGAGTGAAAATTTTACCACATCAATGATTTTAGTCCGTTAATTTAGGTGATTCTAGCCACTACTCAAAGGCCTGAAACAAAACATTTTGGGGGTGTGTGATAACACATGTTAAATTCTTGAACTCACAGGAAATCTTATTTTAAACATTTAAAAACAGAAAAATATTATTTTATTTTATTTGTGAAAGTAATGGACTCAAATGTTATGTAAATAATTAAAGTAACCAAAAGTTAATTTTCATCGCATGTGAACTGCTGTTTTAAACCGGGTAAAAATTGCACAGAGAAATTGAATTATATAGTGGTGATTGCTAGCAGGTTTATTAATAAAAATCATTTTTCTCTTCAATATACATGGAAATCAAAAATAAAATATGAAGAACACATATATATTTACTAAATTTTCGAAAAAAACTATTTTTTCATAAATTTTAATTTTTTGGTTTTGGAAATTACTGCATGTGTATTATATGCTCTAAATCTAATCATAGATTTTGCCCACAAATAACTAAAGAATGAAATAATTGCAAAATTATTAAAAGTATGTTTTAGCGTTTTACCTTACAGATATCGTAGTTTGAAGGTAGATCGCTGCTGTTTCTTGCTTTGTTTCAGATCAATTTGGCCTTTGGTGTTTGGTAGAGGAGAAATCGAAGGATAGTAGATAAGGGTTTTGGGTTTGTGTAATCTGGCAGGATTTTTTCAACTGATTAGGTCTACGAAGGTAGTATTGTGAAGTGTAGAACGAGTAGGAGAACATAGATCGTGAACAAGAAGTTAGGTTATAGACTGAAAATTTACATCTGAGAACGGAGGAACGTATGTTAGGGTGTTTTTGGACTACATATTTCTATGAACTGCTGTTTTGCTAGGCAACATTTAGTAGTTCCGATTGGACTACATAGTTTTGTAAAAGTGATGTTTGAACATGGAGATGGCTAGAAAATGACATCGAGCTAGAGGCGATAGCTTAAGAAATAATGGCGATGTGTGGATGGTGTAGTTTCCAAAAACAGTAGACAGTGTAGAGAAGAAGATATGTGCAGCCGAGAAAATAGGGTAGCAGCAAAATGGTCTAATTGTTTAGTTGTTTAGGGTGTTTTGTTCTGGCTTGGGTTTTGGGTTGGGCTTTGATAGGCTAGAGTTTATATTTGGGTTATAATTATGCTAGAGTTTGTGGTTGGGCTATGGTTAGCCCATATTTATAATATACTTAATATAATTAATGGAACAAGTGTCATTAATCCGGCAAATTATTGTGTGGACCATGGTCCACACAATGTTATGTGGACCATAACAAAAAATACATTTTTAATATACTAAATGTATATTATTTTTGTATTGAATGTACATTATACAATATAATGTACACTCAGAACAAAAATAATGTACATCCCATGTATATAATGTGCATTATTTTTGTATTGAATGTGCATTATTTTTGAACTGAATGTACATTATTTTACAGTAGACAAAATATAGTCCACACAACTTGTGTGGACCATGGTCCATACAATAATGATTGCATTAATTCTCATCATATGAATAATGAAAAAAAATCATTTTGTTGGTATGGAATTTTTTTTTTTCATTTGTATAAATTTCTTTGATTCTATACAAATAAATAGTATATATAAGTATTTAATAAATTTAATAAATTAATAAATTTGTTTTAAATATATTGCTGTATATATAACATAATGTGTTTTATTTTTAAATGCTGTTAATAAATTGAATAAAAATTTTCAATTTTCAATCCGTATTAATACTTGAAAAATCAGATAATATGCAATCCAAGGGTGTTGAGTTCGGATCTCCTGTTGTGTCCGATGTTGCAAACAGCTCAAGTACTGTCAATTGTTATTCTACCATTGAATATGACAAATTGGGTGCAATGATGATAGGTATTGCTTTGTTTGTGTTATTATAAACCATTATCTATATCTATTACGTGGTCTAATATGTATAATTTAAATACTGAAAGTTGTTAATATTTTCTGTATTTATATGTTTATGTATCTTTCTTTTTTTTCTTTAAATTTTTAGGAGACCAAGTGAACTTTAATGTGTTATTTACGGCTACTCGAGATTCGTGTTTTCCTAATCAAGGTGAGATTGTTTGTTAAGGATTTAAAAATTATGCTTTATTAATTTTATTTTTTCATTCAATTGATTTCTGTAATGACTTATGTTTTGGTTTTATTGTAGTACCGTATTATGACCTGGGAGATCCGATTTTTAATTGTAAACATTGTTCGGCAATCTTTTGGCGGGATGAGAAAGTGAAGAATGTGAAGCATACTACTTCTCGAAGATATTCAGGGTGTTGTTCTGATCTAATGGCAAAATTAAGTTACCGAAATTGAATGTTCCGCCTAAAACTATTCTTGAATTATTTTTCAATCCATCTGCAAGAAGCAAGCATTTTTTGCAACATATAAGGTCGTACAATAACATGTTTAGCTTCACATCTATGGGAGGTCGTATTGACAAAGATATTAATACAGGAAAATCACCTCCCGTTTTCAGATTAAATGGTCAAAATTTCCATTTGTTGGGAAGTTTGTTACCTGTTGATGGTAATAAATCTAAATTTGCACAACTTTACATCCATAATCCTGAGAATGAGATTTTCAATAGACTTGATTGTGTTAGGTATGTTGCTGGCTATTGTTAATTGTTTCTTTTTTATTTATAGGAATGTAATGTGATGTGATTAATTGGTATTCTTTCTTTATTGTAGGGTTGGTAATGAGATCAACGAATTACATGCAGATATTGTCTCTGATATCCAATTAGCATTAGATGAGAATAATGTTTTGGTAAAGTCATTTCGGATGGCTAGAGAAGTGATACTTGCAAATCCAAGAGTTGATGTTAGAATGAAGTTAATTGGGAAACGCACCCAAGATGCGAGAACATATAATCTTCCAACAGTGTCTGAGGTTGCTGCTGTTATTGTTGGTGATTTGGATCCAACGTTGGGTGAACGTGATATTTTGATAGAAACACGGTCGGGTGTTCTTAAGAGAATTAATGAACTTAATCCAGCGTATCTTCCACTTCAATATCCAATTTTGTTTCCATATGGTGAAGATGGTTATAGAGAGGACATTCCTTTCCATGTAGAAAGAAATGTTGAGAAAGGTGTTAGGCACAGTGTTTCTCTTCGTGAATACCTATCCTTTCGTGTTCATGAAAGACTTGATGAGATCTCAACATTTTTGTATGCTAGAAGGTTATTTCAACAATTTTTGGTCGATGGGTATACGATGGTTGAATCTGCTCGATTGTTGTATATTCGCACACACCAACAGAGTCTACGATGTGGTTCATATAAAGGATTGTTTGATGCTTTGACACGTGGAGAAGTTGACCCCCGGACTCAAGGTCGACGAATTGTATTGCCATCAACTTTTACTGGTGGAGCACGATATATGGTTCAAAACTACCAAGATGCAATGGCAATTTGTGGTTGGATTGGTTATCCAAATATTTTTATCACTTTTACATGCAATCCAAAATGGCCAGAAATTCAACGTTTTTTGCAATGTAGAGGCTTAAAATCTGAAGATCGGCCTGATATTTTGTGCCGTGTGTTTAAAATGAAATTGGAGGCTTTGATTAAAGAGATACGATCTGGCACTGTCTTTGGGAAAATTGTCGCTGGTATGTGTGCTTCAAGTTAAGTTTACATTTTTTTTTAATTCAACGCTTTGATTGCTTTACTTATGTGTATTAATTTCTTTCCAGTAATTTATACCGTGGAATTTCAAAAACGGGGATTGCCGCATGCACATATTCTTCTGTTCGTTGATCGTGGTGTTGCTCTTACATTTGGTTCCAATGTTGATTCCATTATATCTGCCGAGATTCCTAATAAAGAGAGCGATCCTGAGTATTATACAGTTGTTGGAGAGTTTATGATGCATGGTCCATGTGGTGTGGCTAGGAAAAACTCTCCATGTATGGTTAAGGGGCGCTGCTCAAAACACTTTCCTAAAAAATTTATGGATTGTTCAATTCTTGATTCTGATGGGTATCCCATTTATAAGCGTAGAAATAATGGTAATACAATTGTTAAGAGTGGTGTTGAATTGGATAATAGGTTTGTTGTGCCTCACAATAGATATTTATTGATGAAGTATAGAGCACACATCAATGTAGAATGGTGTAACCAATCTCGGTCTATCAAATATTTGTTTAAATATGTGAACAAAGGTCATGATCGAGTTACTGCGCAATTTTATAGGAGTACCGAATGCCGAGGAAGTAGTGAAGTTATAGATGAAATCAGTATGTATTATGATTGTCGGTATATTTCTCCATGCGAAGCTGCATGGCGTTTGTTTAGCTATGATGTGCAGTTTCGTAATCCAGCAGTTGAACGTCTTAGCTTCCACTTGCCTAATGAACAGAGCATTGTTTTCAATGATGAGGTTTCGGTTGAAACAGTTGTTGAAAGGCAAACGGTTAGAAATAGCATGTTCTTATCATGGTTTGAAGCAAATAAGAGGTATCCTTTTGCTCGAGCGTTGAGTTATAGGGAAATGCCTAATGCTTTTGTTTGGAAAAAGGATATCCGCGAGTGGCATCTAAGAAAACGGGGATTTTCTATTGGTCGTATGTTTTATGTCCCACCAGGTAGTGGGGAGATTTTTTATCTTAGATGTTTGTTAAATTTAGTTCGTGGTCCAACATCTTTTCAAGACATACGAACTGTTGATGGTATTGAATATTCGTCATTTCGAGATGCATGCTACGCTCGTGGATTGATTTCTGATGAAAAAGAATATATTGATGCGATAGTTGAAGCAAGTCAATGGTCGACTGCTGCTGCTCTTAGGAGATTATTTGTAACTTTACTAACGGCAAATTCACTTTGTCAACCTGAAAAAGTATGGGATGTTGTTTGGCCGCATCTATGTGAGGATGCCGAGTATAATCAACGTAAATCATTTGCTAATCCAGGTAAAATGTTGTTATATATATATATATATATATATATATATATATATATATATATATATATATATATATATATATTGTTTTGCAATTTTCAGCTTATAAAGTTATATAGTAATTATTGTAAATGTAAATGATGTGCAGACTTAATGTTGCCGGAAAAAGAGAAGAAAATGTATGGTTTGATAGAGTTAGAGAAACTTTTGTCAACATGGAGCAAGAGTTTGAGTGATTACCCATGTATGCCTGTGCCAGACATGACTTCTTTGTACGGCTCTCAGAACCGATTATTGGCTGAAGAATTGTCCTATGATTATGCATTGTTAGCCAAGGAACATGAACTTTTAGTCCAGCGGTTGACAGTCGAACAACGCTTTGTTTATGACACTGTTCTATCGTCGACTGGTAATGCTACAGGGGTTTTTTTTTTGTCTACGGTTACGGTGGTACTGGGAAAACATTTGTGTGGCAAACTTTATCAGCTGCTTTGCGCTCTGAACGAAAGATCGTTCTGAATGTTGCATCAAGCGGCATTGCTTCGTTGTTGATGCCCGGAGGTCGTACTGCACATTCACGCTTTGCTATACCAATTGTTGTGAATGAGGACTCTACTTGCAATATTTCACAGGGATCCGATCTTGCTGAGCTACTCATTCAATGTAACTTGATTATTTGGGATGAAGCACCTATGATGCATAAACATTGCTTCGAAGCTTTAGACAGGACAATGCGAGATTTGTTACGATTTGTTAATCCATTGAGTTCATCGTTGCCGTTCGGCGGGAAAACAGTTGTTTTAGGAGGTGACTTTAGACAAATATTACCGGTGCTACCAAAGGGTTCTAGGCAAGAAATTGTTGGTGCAACCATTAATTCTTCTTATTTGTGGGCTAATTGTAGGGTATTGAGATTGACAAAGAATTTGAGGTTGCAAAATGTGGGTTCTGTTCAGGATATGGAAGAGCTTAGTTCATTTGCTAATTGGATAGCTGCAATTGGCGATGGCGACATTGGTGGCACAAATGATGGTCATGTGGATGTCCAAATTCCCGAAAAACATGTGCTTAAACCAGATTGTGATCCTATTAAAGCTATTGTTAAAAGTACATTCCCTATGTTTCAAGAAAATCAAAACAACGGGGATTATCTAATTGGTCGAGCAATTTTAGCGCCAACACTCGAGGTTGTTGATGAAGTTAATGACTACATGAGTACTTTGAATGATGCTACATCTAGAACCTATCTTAGCTCCGATTCGGTATGCCCCACTGAAAACACGTCCGACACGGTAGCTGCATTGCATACTCCAGAATTGTTAAATGGCCTGAAATGCTCGGGTTTGCCAAACCATTCGCTCACTCTTAAAGTTGGATCTCCAGTCATGCTACTGCGGAACATAGACCATTCAGCTGGCCTTTGCAATGGGACAAGATTAATTATTTCTAAATTAGCAGATCATGTTGTTCAAGCCAAGATTCTTTTTGGTAGTAATGCAGGTGAACAAGTCTTGATCCCACGATTGTCTCTTACACCATCAGATACTAGGCTACCATTTAAATTCCAACGAAGGCAATTCCCACTTATTTTGTCTTATGCTATGACAATAAACAAGAGTCAAGGTCAAACATTGTCTACAGTTGGACTTTTGTTGAAAAAACCAGTCTTTGTTCACGGGCAATTATATGTTGCTTTGTCTAGGGTTAGTAATCCGAATGGTCTTAAGTTACTTATTTGTAGCGACAATGGAGAGTATGTTTCTTCAACGTCGAATGTTGTATACAAAGAGGTCTTTAACAATTTATAAAATTTGTATATTATTAATTATTTGTTACCTATGCAATATATGCCAATATAATTTTTATATTACTATTACTAATAAACTAATAAATAAATAACTGAATATATATATATATATATATATATATATATATATATATATATATACTATTTTTTATTTTATTTTAGCCGTGCATCGCACGGGTGGAGTACTAGTTACATATAATATATTAACTACATACACATAATTTTAGGACCAGGGTTCACAATACAAGGTGGACCACATTGTGGACCCTGGTCTATGGTATAACAATTGTTAAGGTTATTAGTTAGCCCATTAAATACGTAGGCAATCAATCAAGGAGTGTTATGCTGTGCAACTGTGTGCACCATGCAAGGTGCACATGGAATGGATCCATAATTTTTATACTATAGATTCATAATTTATAAACTGTAGATTCATAATTTCTATACTATAGCATAGAGGCTCTCTCGCGCGGGGAGGCGGGGGGGGGGGGGTAATCTTCATTCCAAAGCAATGTGGGACAAAAGCCACTTTTTCCCTTCATTTTCCAACTCAAATGGGTCTACTTTGAGAATCAATATCTCATTCACCCATTATCCGTTTTGAGCGTACAATATATCGATCTCTTCGTCTCACTACGAAGAATCCGAATCCACTTTGACCCGACCCAAATCGGAAGTGGACCCCACTGATAATTGTACCACAAAATAGCCACTTAACATGCCATTTTAAGCTATTTTTTCCAACAGATCTCTCCATGAGTTCTTGCGCAGCTGACGATTTTTTGGCGTTCTAAGGCGGCGAACAAAGAATCTACTTGTGGCGTTGGTCTCGGCGAGATGGAGGCTACGTCCTTTAGGGGTTTGAACTCTGTTCGACAGCCCCCGGCTAGAATATAATTCTAGCTCCAGCCATCGGGGCTCCGTCGCGGACAGTGGCTGTCATTGGTGGAGAAAATTCACAGCCGACTTTGCAAGTGGAGGCTTCGACCTCGTCTATCTCGATTGGGTCTGGTGATGTTCACCCAACTGGCGTACTTGTTGCTCCAAGTTTGAGAACATCTGTGGCACCAGCGGTGGCGCTAGTGACTGATACTAATGCTGGCATGGTTGTTCAATGGAGAAACCAGAAACGCCATAGGCCTAAGGCAGGTTAGCTCTTGCCATAGGGCTATGTAATTTGGGGGAAAACTCAATTTGAGGGGAAAGAGATGTCAACGTAAAAGGAACAGAGAAAATAATGGTGAAAGGACACCTTTGCCCTCCTAGTTAACATCATTTTGACAGAAAAGTGTCAAAGAATTACGTTTGGTTATTTTTTTAAACTAGTAGGACGTTTATGGGTCGTTTTAAAGTTGAAGGATCACAACGGGTGATACCCCAATACTCGAAAGACCATGAGATGTATTAACTCTAAGTTACACATAGCTAACAAACCCAAAATGAGTTTAAAAAACCAATAAATAAATAAATAAATAAGCCAAAAAAAAAAAATCAATCAACGTGACGACCGTCAAGCACTCTAATAAAATATTAAATTTTTACCTACCACTTTAATTTACATATAATTTGAAAATGTCAAGAAAAAGAAAACAAATAAAAAACAAAACAAAAGTTTCTCTTACTATCCATTTGGATGAAAGTCCGATATCTTTGCTAAGATATATTTTTAACCGGTTTCTGTATTTGTGTTTTTTTTTTTTTTCCTTTGTTTTTAATTTGTTGGTTTAGATAATAACGAGAGAGTAATTTGAATTGGAAGAAGGAAAGCCTCATAGTATATTCTGAAGCGGCTTTGCCTAAGTATTCCAGAACGGCAAAGCCGGCCATTGTATTGTTTACGAAACGCCACTATAACCGCCACTGCACGTTCCTTCATTTTCTCCGACACAGATCCGCCACCACCCACATTCGACCGATCTCCTAAATAAACGCCACTTCTATATCACCTCCTACCTTGGGTCACTCTGTGTTTTTTTCTTCTCTTTTCTCGTTCCTCTCTGCGCGTCTCTTCCATCACTTTTATGCATGCATGCATGTATCATATTATCGTGGTGAGGTGATGAAGACGCGAGGGAAGGGCAAAATCTTTAAGTGTTTGAGGCCGGCAACTAACGACGATGGCTACTTTAAACACTCGGCATCCTGCGATAGTTTCGACTTATCTGAGTATTCATCACCCGTATCGGAACATAGAGGAGGACGCGGCGGTGATGGTGCCATCGCCGCCGGAGATCCGAAGATTTTGAGAAATTTGTCTATGAGAAAGCCGGCGGCATATGCAGATCAGTCCTCGGACGTCGACGCTTCGGCGCCGCCTGATGATCCTAACGTTGGGAAACGGAAATTCCGAGGAAAGTTCCGTCGCGTTCTCAAGGCCGTGTTTTTTGAAGCGTCCTTGGTTGGTACCTATATATATATTCTCCAAGCTTCTATCCATTTCTCATAATCTTGTTATTATCAATCCGATGTGATTTGGATCAATTTTTCAGGTAAGAAAACTTCGAAAGACAGATGCCTTGATGGGCCCGTTTAGATCTCGATCGACCAATAATCTATCATCATCATCATCTCGATCGACCAATAATCTATCGTCATCAAAATCGCAGAGGATTTCGATTAGTGAAAGTTTTTCGTCGAGGGAACTTGCAGAATCATCAGATAAATTTTCTAGGATATATTCAGATAGTTGTTCATCACGGTTATCGACGTCGTCTTTGATGACCGCAAGAGAGTTCTCATCGTCGCCGTGTTCATCGAGTGTTCCGTGCTGTTCTCCGGCGTGTTGTTTGGACCGGAACAGATCCATTTCGTCGTCGTCAAGGACGAAGCAGAAGCAGAAGCTTGAGCGCGGGCGTTATTGTTGGAAAGTGGGATGGTGTTGTTTAATTCTTTGTTTATTAGCTTTGATGTTTTGGGGTAAAACGCTGGCGATTGTTTTCATGTCTGCATGGCTTTACTTTGCCCCTCTTTGTTTCAAATCCGCCATTGATCCGCCGCCGTTGTTTGAGCCCAGTGAATGCATGATCACGAGCAGGAGCCGACCTCGTCATGCCAGAAGACACAGTACTAGTGAATTTTGATCATAACCGCCTCGATCGATCGGATATTGCAGTTTTTTTTTCCTGTTTTTTTTTGCCGGAGCATAGGGGACGCCATTGCCTAATTGGAAACTATTTCTTTTTTTTTTTTTTTTTGGAAATTTTAGTTTATAATTTGGAAATTGTACATCTTCAATTAATCAATATTGGGGTAATGATTCTTCATACAAATTGCATATGCATACTCTGTTACGTTAACTAGCCATTAATTCATTTAATTGTGTTTTATTCTTTTGTTCTTATTAATCCATAATAATAGATTAATTAATTAATACATAAAATTAGTTTTTGAAGACGGTTGACTCTATTACAAGGTAGCATTTGTTCTATATTTTTTTATAACTATTACAATCTAAAGGGCACTGGAGTTCGATCATGTGACATTCCTTCGAAGAAACATTAGAGATGTCAATAACCTTTAAACTGGGATAAGACTTGAACATTTGAAATGGCAATAATGATGTAATTAAATTAAATCTAAATGTACTTTGTAAGTATATAAAATTAATTAATTAATCAAAACTTGATTATGTTTTTGAAATGTAAAAAAGGAGTCAAGTAATATGACGTGTATCCCTCACCAAAAAAAAATACATGACGTGTATCATGTGGTTGTGTCAATGCGCTTAACTTTTAAAATATTTGAGTCTGTATTAATTTTATTGTCATCCTTTTTTTTCATATAAATTTACGGGTTAGTTATTTTGAGGATAAAAACTTAATGCATTAAATCATGAGCAAGAGAGTTTACAAGGAAAATAGGGTAACATCAAATCATTTCCCGTCATAGAAAATGTCTCCCTAGCAACAGTGTGAGCAGCACAATTTTCAGATCGCTTAACAAAACAAAATTCGACATCATCAATCACAGATACCAGTTCTTTAATATCGTCAACTAACAAACCAAAAGTAGAATTAAAAGAGGAAGAAGAAAGAGCATCATAAATTTATGGGTTGTGAATAGTAAAAAGGTACTTACATAGAGAGGAACAAAAAAAGTATACCACATAGAGAGGAACAAAAAAAGTATACCTCCCTTTCTCATTGCATCGCGAATCTTAGTCTAAAACGACATCATTTTATATTAAGTGTCAATTAGTAAATAATGTTATTATGTATTATGCTCATAATATTTATTTTCTATGTTAATAAACATAAACATTAATGTACATAAATATTAAACTAAATATATATCATATGTATATGTATTTCTATTTACTTTATAGTATGTTCATAACGTTTATTCTATATATATATATATATATATATGTACATAAACACAAAGCTTAATTTACATAACCCATAAAAAAATGATATAACTATTGGCATTTTGTTTAATGAAGTCCAATATCCAGTCCGGCCCGTTGAAAGATTGGGGCATCTCTGATTTTTGTGCAAAAGATGCGTAATGCATGCGTCAACCTTTGTCAAATTATTGTTACCGGTTTCCAAATTCCAAGCTGCTTGCTGCTCTCTCCTCTCAGTAGACTGCACTATACGGAGTATAATCTATTAGCTATTATACGGAGTATTATATAGTAGCAACGGCGAATCAAAACGGTGAGTACCCACCCTGTGTCCCCAATCCGAGTTCAATCGCCGGAAAATGCAGCCTAACTCCGCGGATTCCGACCTTCCACGCCTTGCCAACGTCAAAGTCCGTTCATCTTCCCCGCGTTTTCCGCCTCCCGCCACCCCGTCTTCCACCGATACCCCCACGGCCGGAGCCCAGCGTAAGATCGGCATCGCCGTAGACCTCAGCGACGAGTCTGCCTTCGCCGTCAAGTGGGCGGTCCACCACTACCTCCGTCCCGGGGACGCCGTCATACTCCTCCATGTCCGCCCCACCTCTGTTCTCTATGGAGCTGACTGGGGTTCTGTTGACCTCTCCATCGTCGACACTGAAAACGAGGAGTCGCAGCAGAAGCTGGAGGATGATTTCGACACTTTTACTACTACTAAGGCCACCGATCTGGCTCAGCCGCTGGTGGACGCGCAGATTCCGTTCAAAATCCACATCGTTAAGGACCACGATATGAAGGAGAGGCTCTGCCTCGAGGTCGAAAGGCTGGGACTCAGTGCCGTCATCATGGGGAGCCGTGGATTTGGGGCTACTAAGAGAGGAAACGACGGAAGGCTTGGCAGCGTTAGTGATTACTGTGTTAGACATTGCGTTTGCCCTGTAGTTGTTGTTAGATATCCCGATGAGAAGGACAGTGGAAATGCTAGTGGTGAACCTATTGTCTCTGTTGCCTCAGTGGCCGAGGAGGAAGCAGAAGACGAGCCGGAGTACCATGATGCTCATGATGATCGAAAAGGTATAGTATAGTTCTGTGCTTTAATTAAGCTTTTCAATGCATTTCCCTTTGCTCCTTATCTTTTTGTTGCTTATTACTTGTATTGATGAATCGTGTATAGTTGTTGTTAATGATATAATAATCTATAGATTTCTGTACTTTCTAGTCTGTTATGTCCTTTAGATCAGAAACAATCTAACTGAAGTGTGAGAATCACAACATGAGTTATACACAGTTATTCAATTCTTAGGATTGGATTCAATTGCATAATAAGTGGCATGAGTATCCTGGCAAGAGGATCACTTATTTGAAATTTAGATTGGTGGCATGATTTTGGTACTGAACCATTAAGATGACTTCCATCAACTTAAGAACTTTAACAGATGACTAACAGATGGACATAACATGGCTGCTGCACACAGTTTAAGCTAAGACCCTTAAGGTTCATTGTTTTAGTGCCAAAAATTGTATGAATTGCATCCACTTGCCACGGGGAATGGGCTAATTACTATGATGAATTCTTTTCAAATGTCTTAACGTTAAAGAATGAAATTAATACTCTGTCAGTCTGTTGCACTTCCAGGATCTCATTGCCCTGCAAATGTTTTCCACAAGCTTTATTCTTTATTCTTGGAATATAGCTGACAAAATTAACAAACTATATAATTATTTTTTTTGAATAGAAGATTGATTGGAGGCAGGAAAATAAATCTCTAGCTTTTGGCATGGATAGCTTATTCTTTGATGCTAGTGTTCTAGTTTCTTATTTGAACTTTGGTTTGGCTTCTCTTAGCAATATGAGAAATGTTATAAGGATGTAGGGAAAAAAAGTCCAATAAATAACCAGCTTAGTTGGCCTGAGTGGCCGTGCACTCTCATCCTTTAAGAGATGTCGAGAGTTCAAAACTCCTACTCTTGTATGGAAAAACCAATATGGCCATTGGCCAGCACTTTGTCCCTTAACTGGGCCAGCTTGGTGCGAATAGGGATTAGTTTGAGTACGGTACAGGCTTAAAGGTGCCTCCTATAGTTAGAGCCAACGGGATTAGTTTGAGTAAGGTACGGGCTTAAAGGTACCTCTGATAGTTAGAGCCTGCACAAGACACCTCGTGGTCTAACAAAAAAAGTCTTATAAATAATTCTGCGTCTTTGTCTGATTGATATGGTCCTGAATCGCACGAAACTAAGGTAACAAACAATATCCATTTTCAGCGTTTAAATGGTACGTAGTATGTAAAACTTACACTTCTTGACTAATATCCTTCTGACTTGTTAATTATTGAGAATAGTGTTCAGTTATATTTTTTACTAACTTCATTGCATATATGAAGATGAAATTGTTTAGCTCATGCAGTTTTTGCAGTTAATTGATATGGGGGAGCATATTTAGACATTCAGAAAATTGTGTAATTTGTTGACTCTTGAAAACTGTTAATTCGTCTTTCACTATATGACCATGCTTCTTAAACCATCTTATATGTGTGCGTTTTGATTTGATTTTATAAATTCTTCATTGTCTAATGATATTATCGTACCCCCTTTGCTCCTACAGATTCATAATAGAAAGCTGAACCCAACTTCACACACCCTTCCGTGATAGGAGGTTTGTATTCTCTATTTTAAGTTGCCTTCTTGTCTATGAAACAATTCCTCTTTGCCTGTGAGTCCAAATAGATTGTTTTATTTTCCTAATTCTTCTATTCCTTTCTGTGTGATTGCTACCATAGTACTTCTGGGCCCTGGCTCTCTCAATCTAGTTACTCTCTTTTTTGCAGTATCAAGGCAATGCAGTTTACAAAGTATAACCATGGTGTATGATACTTGTGACTGATCAGACACTTGTGATGCATGAAATCATGTTAATGTAAATAAACTGTGGTTGATGTTTCTCCCATCCTCATATAGTCTGGTTGTCACAGATTTCCTGTGAACTGTATTAAATGTTTGGCTTGGTGTTGTTTATTCCGGATTAGCATCATATATTACTTGTGTTTTTCACTGATGAAAATGGATCATTGCTATGCACGTTTTCATTCTCTGAATCAAAATTTAGGGCTGCATGTGATCAGTGATTTCCATAAAGAGATGCTGCTTATTTAATGTGATTTTTAAGGTTGATTAGATAAATAATGCTATAGTTATCAAATGTAAATGATTTCTATACCAGCAAATGCTGCCATATCTTCTGGGAAACGAAAAGCTTAAGTTGAATTACTTGATGAATTGTTGTGGACAGCTTGAAGTATTTGTGCTAGTCGGTAGATACGTTAGACTTTTACAATTTCAAGTTAGAGGGTTTTTTTTCAATATCTATTAGTATTTAATTTCAAGATTTTATTTAAGGGGAATTGAGTTAATGAAAGACAGTTTTGCTATAGGATAATGTTTCCGGTGTGATGTGGATACGGATAAGACTACATGTTGAATTGATTGTCTTATGACCTTATCTACACCAAACTGTCTCAGAATGGTCTATAGTTACAGCAACTCTGCAAAAAAGCTTGGGGGAATTGATCAAAGGCACACGATAACAAAAAAAAGAAAAAAAAAAAAAAAAAAAAAAAAGAGTTCATTACTTTATTTTACCTTTAATTGCTCAAGTATAATACTCCGTAGTATTTTTAGTTTTTGTTTTTTTAATGATTAATTTTAAACAATATTTTACTTTTAATTTAAATTATCAAAATGTTCTTAATTTATAAAATACTTACAAAATTTCATCATCCTAATGTATTTGAGGGAATTTTGAACTAAAAGTAAAATATTTTTTAATATCAATCACTAATAGCCTATTTGATTCAAAATTTCAAATAGGCTATTTGAAATGAAAGTATTTTAATAATTTAAAATACTTACAAAATTTCATCATCCTAATGTATTTGAGGGAATTTTGAACTAAAAGTAAAATATTTTTTAATATCAATCACTAATAGCCTATTTGATTCAAAATTTCAAATAGGCTATTTAAAATGAAAGTATTTTAATAATTTAAAATACTTACAAAATTTCATCATCCTAATGTATTTGAGGGAATTTTGAACTAAAAGTAAAATATTTTTTAATATCAATCACTAATAGCCTATTTGATTCACCAGAAAATATTTTCTTAGGATATTTTTCTTTTCAAATTTGAAGAAAAACAGACTTTACCTTGTTGGTTGATGTCAAATTTTTTTCTTAATCAAACTAATAGCCTATTTTTTTTGGTAACAAAACTAATAGCCTATTTTTTTTTAAGTAACAAAACTAATAGCCTATTTGATTCACTGCATTACCCACAATGCTCTTGCACCAAGTAAAATTTAAACTTACAAGTAGAATTCGAATTAATCTTATAGTGCTCTTTCTCATTACCACTTACCTTGATCATCTCTCCTTTCTCAAATCAAGAAAATCTCAATCTCAGCCAAGTTGGTTGGATTGTTTGGTTTGGTAATCACAAAGTTTGAAATTCAACTCCTAGTAGGAACAAAATACTTCTTTAGTGTAATCGACACAAGGATGAGTTTACATAGTGCACATCATTGAGTAGTGGTTGTGAGTTTTTTCTCGTCACCAAAGGAGTTCAATTCATGCCAACACTTATTCAGTCAAACCCGTTACACTTGGTATTCTTAATGCGGGTTTCTCTTGTCACCCAACATTCCAACAAGATGAAAGGATGCATTGCCAAGTAGATTGTCACGAGTTCAATTCATGCCAACACTTATTCTATCGAATCCATTGCACCTGATATTCCTAATGCGATTAAGTGATTGTCAGTTTATCTTGCCATCCAAAAAAAAGAGTGCCAACTAACTTGTATTTCATTGAGACATTAATGAATTTAAATCCCAGCCACAAGCTCAAAAAATGGCTATGAAATTTCAATGTCCAAATGCTAATATTTAGAATTGTGGGTGAGGCAAAGAAAAATCACCCAATGCTTCAGTAATGAGTAGCATCAATGATTAAAGTTGTATTCAAACAATAATAATCTGAATAACAAAACAAACCAAACACAGTAACATCAAGAATTATCTGGATTGAACATTACGGAACACGTACAATCTGGACTCAGAAGACAGGGATTATAAAAACCAGAACTGCATATACTCCTACAAATTAAATTTGTATGTTCGGTTTAGGATTAGTGATGAAAAGTGGAACAAACAATCAATCAAGCAGTGACGATGAAGTTATTAGCTACTTGATCATCTATCCAGGTCGTCATCGTCGTCTCTCAACCAGAAAAGGCTGCACCGCCGCCGTCTCTGGAGGAGAAACAGCCCTCGTCGCCGCTAGAAAAACTTGGTCCGGCGACGGCGACGGGGACGAACTAGCAGACCAAGGCACTACCTGATTCTCATCCCCTTCCTCCTCCATGTCATTATCCTCACATTCATCACTACTATATCCACTATCATAATCACTTCCCGAATCAATAAATTCCTGAACATCACTATTCCCCATTTCACGATTACTCTCTCCCTCTCCCTCCCGCAGCTGAACATGACTAATCTGGTCGAGGCAGGCGGGGCAGACGGAGACGGTGGGGCAGAGCTTGGCGCCGGAGGCGGTCCACGGCGTCGGAGAGCAACAGGCATGGCAGAGAAGGGTTCTGGAGTGTTTAGCTACGAGGAAATTGGCAGAATGGACCTTCTCGTCGCAGCTCCAGCACAGACTCGCTTCATCTGAGTCGCAGTACATCCTAGCTCCATCCCCGCACAGCTCACACTTCCTCTTCGTTTCTTTCGCCATCGCTTCAATTCTCACAACGAACTCTCTACCCAACCGGATCGGAGCTTAAAATTTTGCAGAATCTTCCTTAAGTGTTATTGGAGTGGGGAGGAGAAGAAGAAGGCGACTTTGTGCGTTTTTATAGGACGATATTTCTGTAAACTGAATGGGTGGATCATGGAGGCAATGAGTGGTCCCACTATTCATTTCTATTAAACTATTCCTTCCAATTTGGCAAACTCACATGTCCCTCTAAAAATTACCATTTTATGCCTCTCATTCAATCAATTTAACTTTTTTTTTATAATATTCTTTCCAAAAGGTTGAACCCTAACCTTAAGGGCACCATACACCCCGGTCCGACAGAATATCTGGGAAAATGTAAATTATGGTAACTCAACTGAATATAAATCACATAAGCTAGACCTTTGTTTACTGGCGGTTAACTAGTTGGGTTAGTGAGTTTGACTAGTTAATAACATTAGCTGCTGGTAGAAAAATGTTTGGTAAATTGGATGTTAGCTGATAGTTGATTACATACAAAATGATTTTCTCAAAAAACTGTTCGAAAAAGCTACTTTAAAACAGTTTTTTAAATTTTAACATTTTGAAGCAATAAATTGTTACAAAAAAGTTAATTAATCAAATACTCATATTGATTGTTTAATCAAGTCAAATAACTAATAGTAATCAAATAAGCTAAAATTGGCTGATATACTAAGTATTTTACCAAACACGGTTAAGTGTTTTAAGTTGGAAGAGATCCCATGTGTTTAAAGATTAAGTTATTGGGAGATGCGGGCGGGTTGAATAAAATATAATTGGTATATTGTAATTAAGGTGGCGTAAGTAAGTAATGAGAGTGGGGGTTAGTATGGTGAGATGGCAAAATTTGGTCCGCAGAAAGGATAGAGGCACGTGAATTTCAGCTGCTCTCCGCATGGCCGTACAATCATGTTCCCATCACCGCCGATGCCGACTCTTTCATTCAAATACAAACTTAAATAATACAAATACTCTTTCCACTATTCTAAAATATTTATATTGATTTTTTTATTTTTAATTTATATTTGTTAACTGATTTAGTTTTCTAACAAATACTATGAGAAAATTAGGTAGGGATATTCACAACTTTAAAAATCAAGATTGAGTAAATCTCGTGTGAGATCATTTTACATGAAACAATTTTAAACAAAAATTATTTAGGAATCAAAATTTAATTGGAAACGTTGAACACAAAGAGAGAAGTTTGAGTAATTTTTATTTAAAAAGTAAAGAGTTTCAATATTTTCATTGTGTTTGGTCATAAATTGATCCAAGAATTAAATCAAGTAACAAATGTATAATAAATGGCTTAATTTACTCTAATTAGGCTCATTTATGATATTAGGCTATAAACATCCGTGCAAGTATAGCCATTGCAAGCTTAGGTGATAAATTTGAGAATAATTTTTAATAGCCAAATTACGAGTTAATATCATCTGAGGTCCTCCGAGTATAGTGATTTTGCCACGTTTAGTCCTAAACTTTTAAATTGACCATCTGTGGTCCTTCGACTTTCAAATTTAACCATCCGTGGTCCAAGTTAACCACCCATGGTCCTTCAACTATTAAATTTTAACCAACCATGGTCCTTTTAAGAGGACCACGACTGGTTAAATTTCGAAACTTGAAGGACCATGGGTGGTTCACTTGGACTATGAATGGTTAAATTTGAAAGTCGAAGGACCACAAATGGTTAATTTGAAAGTTTAGGACTAAACGTGGCAAAACCACAATACTCGGAGGACCTCAGATGGTATTAACTCGCCAAATTACCATTTGAATTACAAGTTTTGCAAATCTATGTTAGACGACTCCCAATTAGACTTTGTTGGTCATTTTTTCCCTCCTTTTTGGGTATCTTTTTCTTACAAGTTCTACTCCAAATTGATTTTCTTGGTCCTTTTTTTGTACTTTTTCTTACAATTTGTCCTTTTTATTTAATAATAATTTAATTATTATTATTATTATTATTATTATTATTATTATTATTATTATTATTATTATTATATTGTTAAGAGTGAATTGAAATTATAAGAATTTAGAGAAAATAATAATTAATTATAAATATGATGATATAATAGTAAAATTCATTGTTGAAAAAAGAAAGAGAATTGAAATATAATCTCAACACTTGAGGTGGTTAAAGGGATCACAATAAAATTAGAACAATTAAATTATTTAAATAGTATTGTTCATATCAAATCTTTATTTTTTTTTTAGTTAAAATTTATTAGATATAATAAGGATAAAATTAGTTATTAAATTATACACAAAAATATAATTGGATCATCAAATGCAATTGACACTCTAAACACAAGTTAAATTCATTCAATTAGACTAAAAGTAATCGGTATTTCGGGTATTGTGTTGACGTGGCAGTTAACATCTTTAAAAAAAAAAACTATTTAAGAATTATAAATAAACAATTAAACAACCTTCCATTAAAAAACATATTTACCAATTATTATATTCATTTTGGAATTGCATGAATGTAAAAAAAAAAAAAAAAAAAAAACTAGTAAATTGTAAATGTAATGATATGTCAATAAACATTTAGAAAAAAAAAATGCAATAGAATATTACAAAGATGCATAAATCTTTAGTGATGAAATATAAATATAATTGATAGTTATAATTTGTTCACTCACAATTTATTTAGGATAATAATACAAGTACTCTCCATTTTTATTTCATACTTACACGTCATGTTCAAATGTTTTTATTTATCTAAAAATAAATACATCATATTATTATTATTGTTTTTCTTCTTATCAGTAAAATCACAACCCATACTAAAAAATTTCCCCTCAAAATTCATATATCATTTTCTATTTATTTAAGCTGTACTTCGAATCACTCGGACCACATACTTGTATAGTTGTATATTTATTTATTTATTTATTCTTTTTTTGGGTGTTTGTCAAGCTGGAAGGTGGCAGTGATTTATGGCGTCATGGTACATGCTAAAACCAAAATTATGGAAAAATAAATAAATACGGGTTGGACTTCCATTTGGAAGGTTGTAAGTTCGAGCCTCAGTGGAGGCGTTATTAGCTCTTTGTGTTTCAGTAGGTTGAGAAAGTATATGAACAGATACTACAATGTAATAGAGCTAGTAGCATTCAAAAAAAATAATAATAAATAAATAAATATATTGCTTGTTTATTCCATCGTTATTTATCCGGATTACGTGGCACGTCCATGTGATCATATCTGATTTGGGTAGTGGTCCAGTGGATTATCCAGCTGCTTTAGAATCTAAATGTTCTTACGTGGACGAATATCACCACACTCAATCTAATCTGACGTGGCTTCACTGCTTCCCACTCCTTTCCTGTTTATATTCTGCCCACACTACCATACTCTACACCAATTTGCCAAAAATCTCTTACCATAAATGGCAAATGTGTAACTTTCAATAATATAAAAAATTACGCTTTTAATTTTTAATTTTCAAAAATATTTTTTAAAATTAACATGTGTGTTTTTTTATGCTATAATCATAAACTTTTATTTCTAATTATCATGTTAAATTCTTATTAATTTACAATAGAATTACTATATTACACAAGTGGAGGCTATATTGACTCGTTGGGTTTCAGTATGTTGAGAAAGTATATATGAAGAGATCCTACATGTAACATAGTCAATAGTATTAAAAAAAAAAAAAAAAAAGCATACACAAGAAGGTAAGTTTTATTTTAGATGAATCATATCTTAGCTTATTTTGATAGCAAAATTTGGCTATGTTTGGTACATCAGAGCATCCCATGATTCCCATTGGCTCTAAACAATAGGTTTTTTGACAGAGTTTTTATAATGTGTGGAGAGGAGAAAATATAAGACAGAGAGTGTAAGGGTTCTAATGCAAGCAACTATATTTATTTTTATTTATTTTTGAATTTTTTCATACATTAGAATTTGTTTTTAAAAGAGTATAGGATTCACATCAACACTACCCAAAAGAATCGTGTAGTGCATGCTATGGGTGAGCAAATATTCGTCAAATTCACTCATATCCTATTGACATTCACTTAAAGTGAATTGATGCAGATTCATTAAATGAAAGTTCGTCACTAGTGGACAAAATGTGGATATATTTTCTCAAAATTTACTATATATATTCAATTCGTTCAACTATATATATATATATATATATATATATATATATATATATATATATAGACTATAAGCCTACTAACCAAATATACGCATGATGGTTTTGTTGGGGCCAGATCCACTATAAACTGGATGTAGAAGTATAGAACAGGATAGTAAAATAGTAATATTATTAATTGGGATGTTAAACTCAAAAGAATACGTAGAAATCCTATTTGGCATTTTAGTGGTCACTATATTTGACAACCACTTCCTATTTTTATTTTTCAATTGTTCTTTTGTTTTAAATCCTATTTGGCACCCAAAAGAAAAACTTAAAAAAAAAAAACACCATTGGAGTTACACTTGTAATTAAAAAATGAACTAAAATTGAAAATTCAAAGTTTATTGAGAATTGTTAAATTAGTTAAATAATGATGTTAAGAGCATTAAGCAAATTAAATTGTCTATTGAGTAAGGTATATATAGTTAATAATAAATTAAAGATGAGATATATAAAAAATGTCCTCACATTCAGTAGTTGTGTCTTTTCCTTTTCCTTTTGGTCTGATCTCTAGCTATTTTGTTTTTATTGGATGGAGACGAGAGAGGATATACCATACATATAAATATATAACAATTAAGAGGAACTTTGTATCAAGACTCAAGGAGTGGAGGATGGGGACGCAAAGTGTAAGAAGATAAACACAATAATTGGAGGGGAGAGGGGTCCACAGAAGTCTGGATACATGGTGAACACTGAATAATACGTACGAAAGGGAAGCAAAAGAAAAGTGGCAATTTCTGAAGCACACTTTTTGCGAGGCTTACATTACATTGCAGTCAACTTGAATTGTTTGGAATTATATATAAATATT